ACTGGAAGTCACCATCTACTGATAAAAATATTCGATTTGGTAGGTGAATGCACAGAGTGACCGATTTGGGCTGCCGTCCCCCCTGCCAGCTTCTGCTTTTATTCCTGTCCAGCCTGTCAACGGTTCACAGGCATAAACAACTTTGCAAGACGAGCAGACGGAAAGACAGTGCGTCCACATCGACTCACTCAAAGTTAAAAACACACTGCTCTGCTCCTATTTCAGCAGCACTTCATGAAATTTTGCTGTCGCCTTTGGGAGGATTCTTTTTATTGCATGCGAGGGTCTGGCGTGTCTTTTATCAGCACACTTTGTTCTCTCTGGCATTCCTCATCCCCTGCGCTCACAAGCCAGACAGAAATCATGACGGGCAGAGAGAAACAGGAATTGAGAACAATGAAAAAGAGAGAGTGGGGACAGAAAGTGCTGTCTAGTCATTATTTGGCTTTTCTTCCTTCATTTGTTTTTTTTTATTATTCAGACACATTTTCTTCTGTGCCATGTGTATGGTCATGATTGTGTTAATAATGTCTGCTTCAAAACCCTCTTTTTCTAACCACTGTGGAAAATGTGTAAGCCAGTGTAGTGCATCCACACAACTTTTCAAGCAGGCAACTTCTTCAAGTGCATCTTTAATGAAGCCACAGGTTCCTCACCGGTGAGAAAAACATGGCCACCTCTCCTCCCTCTGTTCTCTCCCTCTCTTGCAGTTTACACTGTAAACCCATCACCTGCAGACATCAAAGGCAGACGGTGTGGGTTATAACTGCTATCAAAAGCAGCAAACATAAAAGGGCAGAATATTCTCTAACTGGGAGGCTACAGCGCACCACTTTCCAATTTGCCTCTGTTTCAGACCCCTTTAAACCGCCAGTGTTTTATGTCTGTCGTCGCTCCACCATTTTATTTATTCATCTGTGAGCTGAAGAGATAAGCCTTCACTTAGAAGTGGTGAATCAAACTATCTCTGGAGGTCAACATGTTGACTTAAAATATTTGGTTGTGTTTGTTACTCTGTATTCAGCTTTCCTTACTGAAAAAGCAAAGAAAAGGGTGTAAGATTGCTGTGATTTGTTTATGGTTTCGACTGAAAGCACAAATTCCTGCAGTTTGTGTTCCTCGCTCCTCCATCAAACCACAATTATCACCTTTGAAAATGTGTTCAGTCTTTGTGAGTGAATAATTATGTTCAATTAGAAATCTTAATGACTCCATCCATATCGCCCTTTTGTCTCAGTTCTTGAACATCTCTCTGTTGCTTTGAATCTGGCACCACCTGTCAGTAATCGGATGTACTACAGACTAAGTAACTCAGGGGAAATCAGATTCAAATCATAGTGTCATGGAACTAATAATCACAGCCCTAGGTACGATCTCAAATTCCATTGGCTATCTACGGTCAACATGGACACACTTTGGAAACATTATCTCCTGTTTTGACCGGTTGTTTCGCCAGAGTATTTAAAACATGGACACATCATCTTAGTGACAAACTCCATAAAGATGGTAATCTTTTCCTCTTAACGTTTAAAAAATCCTTCCTCTGAAGTCCTCGTTACTTCTTCAGGTGCCAAACCTGAGCTTTGATTCAACCAAGAACGCAAGAAAAACTATTCTTAAAGATTGTATAACTTTTAACACACCTCCAACCTCCTAAATGCCCTTGTCCCATATCTGTGAATATTCTCCCTCATCCAGGTCATGGTCAAGCTTGAAATTTTCAGTTTAAGCAACTGGACGAAGTTTTCTTGAAGAGGTTTCTGAAGAAGCTTCTAGCTCAGAGGCGAAACGTCTTCTAGAAAACTTAACGTCTTCATGCCTAAACTGAAGTTTTCAAGCTCACCCTTGTCCCATTTACAGATAACTACGCAATAAACGGTCCTTTTTTTCTTTTCCTTTTTCTTTCTAACAACCAGACACCACAACCAATCAAGCTGTTTCATCTTTCCCCACATCCCTGAGACAATTACCTCCAATTTTACTTCAATAACACTCTCCCTCCTCCGTCAGTAAACAATCAAATCACTCCATTGTTGAGGGTAATTGGATCTCTTTAAATCAAATCAGCCATTATGGTTGTGATGAAGAACGGCCTGCTCTGTGGGAGTTTGGGACACATGAGGGAATGCAGCACAGGAATACATTACTGGCTCTGCCCCTCAGGTGAAGATGGCTATATTGGCAAAGTTGCGTAATACAGGTTTATTACACCGTGCAGTGATCAGCGCAGGCTTGTTTCTCTCCTGAAGGACATGTTCCAGGTGGAGCTTACATTTCAGTTATAAAGAAATTAGACGCGAGAGGGGAGGGAAAGGAGGTTTTACTCCAGCATGTAGAAGGTGCTGTCTGCATCAGAGTTGGAGTCTAATGCGGAATCCATCCTAATTTAACTCTGCAGCTGTTTTATTTATTCTCTGTCTGGGAAACTTCCCATGATCACTGTGAGAGGAGGTAAGGTGTAGCCCCCCCAAAAAAACATGTTGATATACAGTATGTTACGGTGTAATGCAACTACACACCCCTTTTTTGTATTCACCTGTTAATAAATTATCTCAGGCTCTATATTGCCTGACTCCTCTACCATCATGGAGAGTGATTTGCTTATTTTTCCCATTTCGAGTTGTGAACTTGTGCCACTGATGCTACAAATGACGCTAAAAATTCAAACTCTCTGAATGAGCTATTAGGAATAAAGAGCTAGATAATGAGCTGTGTTTCTGTCGAGGAGGGACGTATGTGCGTGGATCATTAAGGTGAGGGTTTTTTTTGTTGAGAAAATGTCTCACAAAGCATAGTCCTCCTTTTACAAGATTCTTATTTAAGAGGTTGAGAAGGAAGGAGGGAGATTTCTTTTGATGTTGCTCATTGGAAAACATTTCACATGGAGTCTCAGCATATTTAACTGTCTGCTGTTTGGCTTACTGTTCTTTTTTCTTTTGGGAGTTTCCCCATTCATCTTCTGGCCTCTCTCGTGGGTGACTGCTATGCTGAATCTCTCTCCTTTCCCTCCATATCGCTCTCTCCTTTCGGAAACCTGCTTCCTTTGGTGCTATAGTGATGTCATGATGACTGAAATGGATGTGGACCGAGCAGTGTAGCCACACTTTGGTGAAAGAATATTTAATGGAGACGTTGATGGCAAGTTATCCACACATTCAGCTGATAAGGGGAAAAAAATCTTATGCCTCAAGTCATTTCACAGGATTGCTCTCTGTGCTATTACCTGCAGTCAGTCGGTTGAGAAATTAGTCCCTCGATTTATCACAAAGTCATAAGTCAGTCATTTTCTTAGAAATTGTTCTGTCACTGTGTCTGTAAATAAACAAGACAATAAATCTTTTACTCTTTAGTCAGTAAATAATTCAGTTATTCACTCAGAAATGAGTCAGATCTTTGAATAAAGGGAACAAATTAGTCAGCCTTTAGCCACCAAATCAGTTAGGAAATTAGCTACTCGATTCAAGTCAGTCAAATAATGTGTCTTCCACTTTGAATTCAGCTCAACTTGGTCTTCACACTCAAAAGACCAAAAGACATTGGCTGCTTAACCTCTATTCAGCCTGCCATCCTCTGATAACACTTAACCCAATTAACTCAAGCTTCATCCTTATGCCTGGGATCTGTGTGTGTGTGTGTTTGTGTGTGTGTGTGGAAGCGTGTGTGTGTGTTTGTGAGTGTGTGTGTATGTGTGTGTACGTGTGCATTTGGTTAAATGTGCATGCCTGTGTGTGCATGCTTTAGATATAGACGTATGTCTTCATACCTGTTCAGCATATATAGTAACATTCTAAGATGTTTGATCCTTACTTTTCCTTTCTCTAAGATTTAAGATTAACATTCAGTGTGGCAATGGGAGTTGTGAATGATTGGGCATCTCATCCAAAAGCAAGAAATAGTTTTGTACTGTGCTTCAAGAACGAGTTAAATGACATTATTAAACATGAAGTTAAACATTCAAATGCCTTCTGTCATATATTAATTATATTTACCCAAGCTTTTATTCTGCTTCAAAAGATGATGGACTAACAAGCTTAAAGATTACACGTTGACTGATTTAGTCATTCACACTTACGTCATCTGAAGTAAACACTTTTTTTTTTTAAATATAAATGTAATTTTAATGAAGAAGATTTTTGTTCAAGGAGCTATCTGGCATAGTATATTTACTAAAGCTAGCATGTGCTGTTTTGAATGCCATCCATGCTTTGTCACTTCCAGCTACACATTTCACAGACAGGATGATTCATTCTTGTGAAGGTAATTGATGGAAGTGAAGCCTTTCATGTAGATGTGAATGAAAAAGCCTCACCCGAGTATTTCTACTGCAAAGGCTTTGTTCAAATTCGATTCCATCTTGGCAATGGTTTATTATTCAACAGTCACCTCTGTGTCCACATTGATTGTTCTGTACCTGAAACGTGACCTGTGGGTCCGATTCCAGGATGCTTAAGACAATTTCAAGTGTAATCGACAGATTTTATGATGGCCCGGACATTTCTCACCCTCCGGCTACTGCTCATGTTTGATTCATCTCCACTCAGCGCCTTAGTCAGCACAATCAAATCTCTCATCTGCTCTGCTCTTCCGCTGTCTGCTGTTCTCATCACCTCTTTGCTCTGATCTGCATGACCCCCTCTTTCAGCGAAACACTCACATGGGAGGTTCCTCAGCGAGTTGCTTGGTAAATGACAAAAACACCCAAGGAAACAACAACTTGTTGCTCGAGTGTATGGGTCCTTGCTGATGTGATAATTATAAGAGAATATCTATTTATTTTTCGTCTTATCTATAAACAGGACGAATTCTAAAAGTGTGTCAACAAATGAAATCTTTACTGTTGTTGGGAAATAACAATCTGAGATATTTTGATATTGTAATGATTGCTCACAACCATAGTTGATGGCTCTTTGAATAATCACAACACTATCTAAGACGGTGCAAATTAGATCAACCCGCAAGATTTTCTGACCATTTCTTGTATTTTCTCCTCAAAAACTCAGGTAAATATGCCATGAGAGATTTGATCCACCGTCTACCAGGCAGTAGTAGCAGCAGCAATAACAATACCACCAGCACTGGGACCTCCGGGACCACGGGCCCTCCCAGCAAGGCCATGTCAGACGATACAGTCACTGCCATCTGCTGTGCGCTACATGAAGTAATCACCAAGAATATGGAGAATGCTAAAGCTCTGCGCGATGCCGGTGGCATCGAGAAGCTCATCGGGATCACTCGCAGCAAAGGAGACAAGTGAGTAGGCTACTGTTAAGAGTAGGGTCAGTTTTTTTGTCTGCATTCAAAATAGAAACGTATATCTTTCTACATTTAAAGTTGTGCAGAAAAATTAGCTTTTTTGCGATCATATAAGATGCGTATTATTACTTCAACTGATAGAATCTAGGTTTTTTTAAATGCCTTTTATGCATTTTATGCATAACATTTATCCAGTTCGACACATTATGCAAGATAATACTTTTTATATGAATTCACCTCTTCACGAATACTATGAACAGCAAATTTATCTTTGTTTTATCACTGGTGAAAAATCTATAATCAATTTGAACATAACTCAGATAACCCTAATTACTCAGCCCTTTAAAAAAAAAATTCCATTGGACTCCAGTGATGACATGCCTAACTGAAGATCTGCATATGTTTAACTTTTGACTGTATGCAATGTTTTTTTCAATAAACATGTCTTTGTAGAAGCTTACAAATTATGGTGATCTTAAAATGCACAAAGAACATGAGCATTTCTACATTAAGCCATTTTCTTTATTAGAAATAGTTTCATTTATTGTAGTGTTTGGGTTATTCCCCTAAGATATATTAGTATTCTGCTTGATCCAGCCAATCATCATCTTGAAATATGCTTGCGTCAGTCCCAAACTGGTCACAGCAGAAACCTAAAGGAATCATGTTATAGCCTGAGGAGAAACAATGTCACAGACTACTGAGAATTGCACTGTATATATTTGCAGAGCCAGAGCAGATTTATCAGCAACGTTGAAGAGGTGGCATGTTTAATTGTTTATGTCCTTTGCAGATTTCAGATCTACTCAAAGATAATTTGTCTCCAAAACAGAACGATTTAGTCATTCTCACTGTTAATCATGTCCAAAAAAGTGTTTGCTTTCATTTTAAAATGTATGGTCAGACCTAGGATGACAAATAAATATGTTTTGGTTTCTACATGAGCAGTTTCATGCAGCCTACCCCACGTGGTAAGCTGTGAGCTTTGCCCTGATGTTGCCTCACCTCCATTATCTACAACTGCTTTCCTTCTGACCATTCATCTGCAAAACACAGCTGGAGAACAACAAGGATCTAGCTTAAATATACCTTTTGTTATGACACTAGACCGAGCAGGGCGTTCAACTTTGTTTCTATGGCAACCAGCAGGTCAGGGGTTGCCATACCACCTGGCTGTCATCAGCCGGAGGTCAAATGTTGATTTATTGTTACGGGGAAAGACTCTGTCTATTTAAGGAGGTGTGTTCAAGGGCACCACTACGGAGAGAGACGAGGTGCAGACTGAAACAGCCATAAATTCAAATTTCACACTGACTGTAGTTATCTGCCAATAGCGTACACATCTTCATTTTCTGAGAATGGGCACGCCGTGGATAAATGCTTATTATCTGCAGTAGCAAGGTATAATCAGACAATTATACACTTTTAGATTGAGAAAAATGCCAATTACATCACAAGCATGCAATACATGAATACAGTAATGTTTATCAGTTGAGGAGTAGAACGTGAAAAACCCACTGAAATAGAAAAAAAGAGAATAATTTGTCTCTGGGGATCTAACCTAAAGCTTTGGAAGAGTAACTGCTGGAGCACATCCCTGTCACAAAACACAAACAGCCACATATTTTGGCAGAAAATGAAAAGCTTTATGTAATTACAATAAAAATGATGCACTCAACTGGTGATCCAAAAAAACAACATTCATTTTGATATGTTAGAGTGGGAAAAAGGCAAATGGTATTAATCACGTTAATGACACAGTTCTGTTAATGTGGATGTCAGCTATGGCGTGAAAAAGCGCGCCCGATGGCAAAATCCATTGTGAATAGATGATGCCGTCTGTGCTTCTCCTGCTGTGTCATGTCACAATATCTGCCGTGAAAAGGTGTAAGTGTAAAAACTATTTGGGGATTTATTTATTTTGGGGGGGGGTTAAGGTGTTCACAAGTTACCTTGTGTAACTATATCCCTCTGGTTTGGGTGGAAAAACCATTTAAAAAGGGGGACCGAAGGGTGTGTTCCAACTACAGGGGGATCACACTCTTAAGCCTCCCTGGGAAAGTCTATTCAGCGGTTCTGGAGAGGAGGGTCCGTCGGATAGTCGAGTCTCGGATCGAGGAGGAACAGTGTGGTTTTCGTCCTGGCCGTGGAACGCTGGACCAGCTCTATACCCTCAGCGGGGTCCTGGAGGGTGCATGGGAGTTCGCCCAACCAGTCCACATGTGTTTTGTGGACTTGGAGAAGGCGTTCGACCGTGTCCCTCGGGGTATCCTGTGGGGGGTGCTCCGGGAGTATGGGGTACCTGGCCCTTTGTTACGGGCTGTTCGGTCCCTGTACGACCGGAGTCAGAGTCTGGTTCGCATTGCCGGTAGTAAGTCGGATCCGTTTCCGGTGGGAGTTGGACTCCGCCAAGGTTGCCCTATGTCTCCGGTCCTGTTCATAACTTTTATGGACAGGATTTCTAGGTGCAGCCGAGGTGTTGAGGGTGTCAGTCTTGGTGGCCTTAGGATCGCATCTCTGCTTTTTGCAGATGATGTGGTCCTGTTGGCTCCATCAAGTCGGGACCTACAGCTCTCACTGGAGCGGTTCGCAGCCGAGTGCGAAGCGGCTGGGATGAGGATCAGTGCCTCCAAGTCCGAGACCATGGTCTCTCACCGGAAAAGGGTAGAGTGCCTTCTCCGGGTCGGAGCGGACGTCCTCCCCCAAGTGGAGGAGTTCAAGTATCTCGGGGTCTTGTTCGCGAACGGGGGTAGGGAGCGTGAGATCGATAGGCGGATCGGTGCGGCGTCTGCAGTAATGCGGGCGCTGTACCGGTCTGTCGTGATGAAGAGAGAGCTGAGCCTAAAAGCGAAGCTCTCAATTTATCGGTCGATCTACGTTCCCACCCTTGTCTATGGTCACGAACTTTGGGTAGTGACTGAAAGAACGAGATCGCGGATACAAGCGGCCGAAATGAGTTTCCTCCGCAGGGTGGCTGGGCTCTCCCTTAGAGATAGGGTGAGAAGCTCGGCCATCCGGGAGGGGCTCGGAGTAGAGCCGCTGCTCCTCCACGTGGAGAGGAGCCAGTTGAGGTGGCTCGGGCATCTGTTTAGGATGCCTCCTGGTCGCCTCCCTGGGGAGGTGTTCCGGGCTCGTCCCACCGGAAGAAGGCCCAGAGGAAGACCCAGGACCCGCTGGAGGGACTATGTGTCCCGGCTGGCCTGGGAACGCCTCGGGATCCCCCCGGAGGAGCTGGCTGAAGTGGCCGGGGAGAGGGAAGTCTGGGTTTCCCTGCTCCGGCTGCTGCCCCCGCGACCCGACCCCGGATAAGCGGTGGATAATGGATGGATGGATGGATGGATGGATGGGGTTTGGGTGGATAAAATGATTTTTCTCTTTATATTATGACAAGCACTTTTTTAGTATTGAAAAATAAGTACTGCAAAACATTTATGAATATTGTGGGAGCACAGATTTTATTTTATGAGGATGCTCGCTCTGGACAAAGAGAAAATGAGATTCCCCTCTTCTAACCCTTTTACATGTTAATAGGGCGGAGCTCACAAAATAACTTCTTCCAAGGTCATTTTTCAGCTGAGTGGCGGGTAGGGGACCATTAACATGGCGGAGTGGGTCATTTTAAACTCATCTTATACTCCGGGTTTGCTCAAAGAAAATCGTTCCCTTTTGAAAAGAGAAATGATTGCCTCTCTCTTGAAGCCATTACCACTGCCACTGGTCACACACGGCTCGAGCAGCTGGTAAGGACATGAAACGGTAACATGGCGACATCAAAAATAAATGGAGTCCAGGGGAAGTGACTCTACATTGTTTTCTCCATCTCTCTCCAGACACTCCGCAAAGGTAGTCAAGGCAGCGTCTCAAGTCCTCAGCAGCATGTGGCAGTACAGAGATCTGCGCTCCCTCTACAAAAAGGTAGGCGTAGTACAAACAGTGCGGAACACCTTATCCACTTATTTGTTCGAATTCACGTCGCACAAATTTTTGTCCTTTCCACGGGTCGCATGTTGCGTCACTCTGCTCCGTGAGTTACTTACTATTTGATGCGCAGGAAATGAGTTTTCCATGTCAGACATCAATTTGTCAGATGACTCTCATCATTAATCTCCAGGCCACAGACACCTGTGTTGTGAAGGAGCAGGAAAAGTTACAAGCCAGGGCTAGAGCCTGCCGTGTATTTAATTAGGTAGAGATAGCTCTTGTTATAACGGTATTAAGTTTTGTGAAACAGGATAATTAGAAAGTCATTGCTATATTTGGAAAACTGGCTGGGAACTGGTCGGGGCGAATGGTTTGGGCTTTCGCTGGAGCAGATGGGGAAAACTGATTCTCGATGGAGACACTTCAATGAAGCAATTAAAGGCACACTTGCATCCTTTTTTGTGCTTTGATCAGCTAAAGATTTTGGTTTGTGCTTCTGGAAACAACATTAAACTTCAGTGGGTATGGTCCGGGCTCATCTCTGTTTTCTACTACCAGGGACAAACTGCATTCAGCCACTTTTTCTTGTTGTGTTCTGATTTTCTAAAGCTCACAACTGCCAATTTAATTTTGATCGTCATCATTTATTTTCCAACAAATTAGCATCAATTGATTCCTTATTTACCATATTGTCTTCTTCTTTTCATGTCATCATTGCAAGAAAAAGTGAGAGAAGGATTTTTTTTGTCATTATTGAGTATAAAACTTCTCGCGAGTGGATTAATCACAATTCACTAAATGAAAACCAACATTTTCTGTCAATATATGTAAATCCACTTTTGCAATCATTTTGGCACCAAGTGATTGCTTGGGAGTGTCTGTAGGAATGTGCTGCATAAGTGGCCTTTTCTTTTGTTTTTACTGCCTTACAACGCTGGATCTATTTCAGTGCAAGGTACAAAAAAAGCACATATGAAAAGTTCTGCAAAAATCTTTGCATTTGGGGTGTGTTTAATTGGCCGATAATTGGTCCCTTTAAAAAAAAACAAATTTTTAATTGGAATGTGTTTGATGATATTTTTTGTTCAAATCCCATAATCCTGCAGGTTGCATTCTCTCCTTGTGTGCGAAAGGATTTTCTCACTCTGCCTTCTCCTCACTGCCAAATGACATGCATGTCAGGTTCATTTGCAATCCGAAATTGTGTCCAAGGGTGAGTGTGAGTGGGAATGGCCATTCGTCTCATTTGTCTCTGTGTTGCCCTGTGATCGACTGGTGATCTGTCAAGATACCCTGCCTCTCACCCAGGGATAGCTGGGGTAGACTTCAGCCCCCCCGTGACCCTGACCTGAATTAAGCAAGTATGGCAAACGGGTGGATGGATGGATATGTTCAGTGTAGCTCACAAATGGGAAAAGCTTAAATGCCTGACACAGATTTAAGTCAGGCTCTTTTCATAACAAAAAAAGCGGGATTCCTTTCATACAGACTACAGATTATTAGTATTCTGAGGACTCTGGTCTTGGAGACTCTCCATTGGGATCTGTGTCTTGTTTTGTCTTTGTGAGTATACCACAATATTAGAACTGCTGATGGCTGAAGGCAATGACATTGATTATATTGGTTTAATTGGCACCAGTTAAGGAGTGGAATATATTAGGCAGCAAGTGAACATCCAGTTCTTCAGGTTGATCCACTGGAATCATGCAATATGGGAAAGTGAAAGGCTGTGGAGGATTTGGATGGCGGTATTTGCAATCAGTGATGATGGATTGACTTGGCAACAACATCTCCAAAACAGCGGGTCTGGAGTGTTTCTCGCAAGCAGTTGTTAGTGTGTAATAAAAGTAGTAAAAGACAGCAATGTGTCATAACCCACAATGCATCAGAGCTTGCAGAATATAAAATTGCCCATCCTGCCCTTCATATCCACTGTAAGGCACACTAAGAAGGCTGCTTGATCTTCTGAATTAGATCAGTCAGATGTTTAAAATCTGTGTGTCTGTATGTGTGTTTTCAACTAAAGGTGAGTCATGAAGACATGGAAGTAAAAAGAAATGCTGGGATTTTGCTGGACACTATTACAACAGAGCAACAGTGGTTACAGAGAGCAACGGGATCAATAACTCTTTGTTAGTCTCTGGAATAATGTGTTGTTGTCTTTTTCTCTCTTTCTGTGGTCTGCACACACAAACACATTCTCTGTGTTTCACTTACAAGCAACATCAATGCTAATTGTTATTTAGACCATTAAGGGGTCTGAAGAATAAGAGGAAACTGCAGACTCATAAATACTGTAATTAAAGCATAGCTCATAAAGAATGGCTCAGAAAAGCAAAAGCAGCCGAACGATATGAAGCGTACAGGGTGGCACATAATTAGGTTTTTTTTGGTTTGTTTTATTTTTGTCTATTATCTGGAAGTCACTCGCCGCTTGTTGTAAAGAACAAACAAAAAAACTGTTTAAATGGGCTTTTCTATTTTTTAAATCCGACGCTTTTGTTTGCTTTTGTTTGCTTGATCCTGTTAGCACGTGGGCAAAAGAAATTGCAGATGTTTCGCCCTGTTAATTTGTCTGTCATCTGATATCTGTCCTTTGATCCGCTGAAGCTTCAGAGATACTAATTGCAGTTTTGAAATTATACCTTTGAAAAATATGCTCTCGGCTTTGAAAGTGTCGAAGATGGAAAAAAGGAAAAAGAAAAACAATAAGCTTCACTTCAGAGACTTGTCTGAAAGATTTATTAGCTCCTGTCTTTAAAAGGTTTCGCTTCTTAAAAGCGCAGTTGTCCCTCCGATTGGTCACTCTATTGGTTCGAAATAGCTGATGGTTCTTATATGCCGAACTAAGATTGGGAATTCTACAGGTGAAGGATGCAAAGCCAAACAACACACTGTGGGCAGGTCAGCAGCAGATCCTGATGAGACTGATTGAAAGAGGGGCAACCCCCTGAGCACGTACAGGTTTTTAAACAGTGCAACCCTGCAGCATATATACATATTTAACCTTTATATCCCCAGCAATGTTCAGGTCTAGTTTCTCTAGTTTGTCAGCGTTTGTGAAGATGTCACTCTCTTTTATTCACTCTCACTCTTCATTGTTCTCAGTTAAAGCAGCTTTCCTTTTCAAATCTTTCTTGAAAACACGTTGAAAATCATGAAAACAGATGATCAGAGCCATGCAATATACTTCTCTTCAACAAGTCTTTTTTATCTTTACTACTTACTATATTCCCATGAAGGTAAATTGCCCCCTACGCTTGAATTTCAAGCAGCTAAATATCATCTTTCAAAGATGCTTTTATCTTTGAAGTGACCCCAAAATAATTGCAAGATATTGTTTTTAAACCCTAAAAGCTGCTTGTATAAGAGTGAGGAGGTGTTGCTCTAAAACTACTTTTATATATCCTTCCAGTTTCTTTCATTTGTATCTTCACTTTATGAGTAAGGCAGAGGGGTTTTGACTGATTAGCCTGCTGACTTTTGCGCTTGCTATGTTTCACCAGTGTTTTCTACTTCATAGAGAAGCATCCTCATGTCTTCGCCTCCTCAGCTCCACATTCCTGTAATCATTGTCACTCAACAGCATTGCCTCTGTCCAAATGGCAAACATGAGAGATTTTAACTTTGCACAGCAACCATGATCAGCAAACTATTTCATTATTAGGTATATGAATCATTAATGTGTCTATATGTTTCCCCAGCCTCTATATGGATGTTAATAGCAGCCCATCCAAGTCTAACAATTTCTGACTAATCATCTTTGGTCTGTGGGATTTATCCACACACAGTCTTTCTAAAATGAATTTCCAAGGATGGTAGACACCTTGCTAAATTACAATCCATTCCCTAAATGTCACAGTTAGTGACAAAGCAGCTTATTTTTATAACTGCAAAAAAACTGTCACATTAATGGATTTGTATGTCTTTTTATCACAAGAGTCCAGGATTCCAAATGAGTGATTTGACTGCTTGTATTCAGCCATGACACGTTGGGCCACTGGTGTTAGCTGCTGCAGAAATCCTGTTAGCATCCTATCCAAACGTGGATTAGCAAGCAGTTTAGATTAGGGCGGGGAGTCTCTACGAAGAGCTAACGTAAAGGGTACAGCAGAAATGTAGAGGCACCCAAAAGAAAGAAAGGGAAAAAAAAGTTTAAAAAAAATTTCTTATTTTTTTAGCTGACGATAAGCATGCTTGTGATTGTCTGTATGCAGTTTTAGATAAGAAAAGAGTGTGCGGTCAATAATGAGTCAGTTTGAACACTGCTTTTCAGGTTTGCTTTTTTTTCTTACTTGGTGTTCTTTTAGGAATGGAAGCATTTTGAAACGCTTTTCCAGCTGTTCAAAAGTGAATTTGTTTCTGTGCAAATGTGTGTTATTTGAATATTTTGTTGTTTGTCAGCATAACACTGAGAAATTCAGTGAGAGAAAAGAGAATTACTTCATACTTCGAAGCTGTTTTGAGCAAATAGAAAGGGAAAGTTTCAAGTCCACAGTTGAATTAACTTTGTATGAGCCCGACGCTTTGGGGGGAACTCTTTTCCAGGATATGGCTTCAGTAGCTTTGTAAGTTGGTGTATGATGGCTGTTCATGTAGATCCAATCTACAACGCCATAACAGGGGATTTATATTTTAAACATGGAACTTTGAATTGGAACACAGTCATGCTCTAAACACACCCACTCTTGATAAAACCAGAAGCAACAAATAATTTGACTCACTTAACAAATTCCCTTTTTCTCACAAGCAGAGCAGAAAATTGCATATTCACACATTTACGCTTTTTTTTAAAACAACATTCATTCTATAACTTCAGTCAGACTCCTGTGTCTCATTTTCTGAGAAATGATTTGTCTTTGGCCCTCGATCAAATGCATTCTTTCTTACACATAAAACACACACATGCAGGGTCATATCTCACACACACTTCTCAAACACACACAAATCAGAAACATACATGGGACAAATGGAGTTCAGGGTCAGAGATGTTG